AGTCTAGTCCTTGTTGAACTGGGTTTTCCGATTCAGGACTTGGAATTTCTTTTTTTCGCCTTGACTCCCACTTTTCGTCTTGAACAAGTCGTCATCGGGAAAGTCTCCATCGAGTCACCTCTGTTGGCGTGTGCCTACTGCCGCCTTCGCCCGTACTTCTGTTGTCCTGGGTTCGTGCGTATCCGTCTGCAAACACCTTAACAATGCTCGTATCTGACAGCAACCTGCCTACGAGTATGTCTGCATTTGCACAGTACCACATATCCCATCAACTACGGGTTCGCGGGGTAGCCTGCCTCGTCTCCTCGAGAGATGTCCGTGCTTACCGGGTCCAACGAACAATTACATAATATAATTACATACATTGATCCTATAGCCCACGCAGGGGTCGTACATGAATGATCTTGTAAAGCATTTAAACTATGCGGTGTCCCACCGCGCGAATAAATTATTACAAGCATTCACCAACCCAAAAATCCCCGACATGTCCGAGACTTTTAAAACAACATACATGAATTAAAAAACAAACATACATGCGGGCCATAATAGTCGGATTCAAGAATACCTACAAACACATTTATTTGCAATTCTAATCTATTATGCGTTGCGTCTGTTCACAATTAATTCACATATATCACGCAAGCCCTAATTCGAATAGTGCACAAAGTCGAATTAACCTGGGCTCTGATACCAATTGTTGGATTCTATTAGGAATGTCGACAATGTGCACATTCAAATCTATTGAATAATAAATCCTAACGCAGCGGAATCTATAGTTAGGATTAGGACTTACGGTTTAAAATTTTTTGCCGACTCTGAGACGTTTCTGATTTCCGTTGATGGAGATCGTCTGAACACCAAAGTCTAATGGGCAGCTAGACTTGACCTTTCTCGATTCTAATCGAGTTGTCAAGGTGCTCCGGTTGCTCGTCAACGACATCGGATCGTCTCGGACCTTCGGTAACTGCGTTGGACTCCTCGGGCCGCTCGGGAACAATCTTGGACTCGAACCGGGACTTACGGACCACGTTGAACCAATATGGGTCGAGATGGACAGCCCTGGGTCGGTCTGGACTGCGTTGGCACGTCGCTGGGCCGTTCTGTAGCTTCCTGGACC